TCTTTTGTTTTTTTAAATAAATGAGGTGAGCATTAGCCTGAAGTTGATAATTGTTGTTCTCATTTGCATACTTCACACCAACTCCAATATTGAACAGTGAAATATATTTTAATTTTACCCAAATAAAAACGATATCGTTTAATGGTCAAGCACATATGGAGGATTCACAAGAGGTGTTAAGTGTCTTAAAATTTTTAAACGTAAAATAACACCTAATACTTCTTTAGGCCTTTTGTAAGATAACCAAAATGCTTTTTAACTAGTAGGAAATATATTATTGGCTCTTATTATACCCAACGAATCTTTCAAATCGTTTTTAACCGTTACTTTATATTGGACAATTTTAAGCCTTTAAGACATTACGACGTCTAACACGAATTGTGAATCCCCTAAATATGCATTAAATTACACATCAAAATTTTTAATTTCAGTGTTCGAATTATATCAGAAACAATCGCACCCGATATTGAAAACTGTAATAGTCCTGGCTAGTTGGCATTTATTTTATTTTTAAAATATGTTCACTAAAATTTTATTAACCTAAATGTAAAGTTTTTGCGAAGTGTTTATCGAATTTATTTTCGAATTTAAACATTTTTAATATAAGATATTAACTATTTTTTTAAAGGTAAATGTTTTATATATAATCCCAAATTTATGATATACAATTCCCTCTACCAAAAAACTTAAATTGGGTAACACCGCTTCGAAATTTTACAATTGATCAATTGTCAAAAATCTGCCTTTTTATCAAAAAGTGGTTTACCAGGGTGTCTTTGAACTAATGATTAGTACTGAATTAAAGAATGCACACACATAAAAGATTGCAGCCTTTTCAATACTCATTCAGTGTTAAATCTTTTTTTGATTTGGCATTGGTATTTTAAATCTTGCTATGAATATGTTGATGTGTGCATTCATAACTGCTTTGAGTGAATGGAAAATTTAAAAATTATAAACCTCAATCTTATGCGAGGAATAAGTAATGAAAACTGAATAGAAAAAACTTTTTGATTTTAAATTGAAAATGATTTCACACTTACACAGCTCTGGTATGCATACCAAATTTCATACTCTTCCGAATTATTATTCCTATGTTGCAGCTGATACAAAATTTCAAGCCTGTGGAATGTGCCACGCCCCCCCCCCTTTCAGAAAAACTAATTTATGTATGCCTTACTATAAGCATTTATCATAGATCTTCACACCAAATTTCAAATCCATGTGACGTGTGGTTCCGACGTTATATCTGTTTAAAAAATTCGCGCCCATAGGATGTGCCACGCCTTCTTGTACAAACTCATTTATACATACCTTACTATAAGCACCCGGCATAGATATATCTGCATGCCAAATTCAATCTCATGTGACTTTTGGTTCCAGAGTTATAGCTGGTAAATAATTTCACGCCTATGAATTATGTCACGCCCCCTTTTACAAACTCATTTATATATAGCCTACTATAAGCAACCACCATAGATTTGTCTGCATACCAACTTTCCAGTTCATGTGACTAGGGACTCCGAAGTTATAGCTGATAAAAATTTCCGCCCCTAAGGGATGTCCCACTCCCCTTTTAGAACCTCATTTATATGTATATACCTTGCTATAAGCACCTACTATAGATATGACTGCATACCAAATTTCAATTTCATGTGACAAATGGCTCCGAAAATATAGCTGATAAAATATTGCATGCCTATGGGATGTTCCACGCCCCCTTTTACAAACTCATTTATTTATACATTACTACAAGCGCCTACCATAGATATGTCTTCGTAACAAATTTCAAGTACGTGGGTCTTCTGATTCCGAAGTTATAGTTGATAAAATGGTCCACGCATATGGGATGTGCCACTCCCTTTTATACAAATTCATGTATATATAGCGTTCTATAGGCGCCTACCAAATTTCAACTTCATGTGATTTATGGTTTTGATGTTATGGCTTCCCACCCGCATTGTAAAAAAATCGCCGTACCTAAACTTTATTGACTGACTGTATGAGAATTTAAGTCGGTTTCGTTTTTTGCTTAAAAATTACTTGTTCTAGTAACAATTTCGTTGTACCGAGCGCTACAAAGGAATTTATATTGCACGAAGTTTATGAATTTATTGAAGGGTTAAACTAAAAATTTGTAAGTTACCTTAATTGCATGCACATCTCAAAATGTGACTTCGTCTTTACACCAAAATCGTAATTTTTTCATTATTTTTAACCAGCTTCAAAAAATGGAGAAGGTTATCTTTTCGTAGAAGTATTAATTTTTTATGTATGTTACCGCAATAACCATTTCGATAATTCTTTTTTTTTAAGGAAAGGGGGTACCTCAGAGATGGTCCCATTGTAATTTGTAAACTTAATGTTTTACTTGAGAGTTGAAGTCGGTTGTTTTTTTTGCTAAACAATTAAACAATTACTTGTTTATTTAAACAATAGTCTTCGAGACTCTTCTGCAAATCGATAAATTGTTTTAGTGATGATTTCATTTTTGTTTTCTCTACAAAACTCTGTGAACGCTGAACATACCTAAACCTAAATTCCAGTACAAACTAAGTGGAAAATATTAAAAGATAATAATTATTTTAACATTTTTTTTATGTAAATTACTGATATGATTGAATAAAAAACGTAAAATTTTCAGGTACAATTTATTTTTTGTATAGGAAGAAACCACCAAGCTAGACATTCAAGGTTACAATAATTCGCATAAAGCTGAAAATTTGTACGAGTGTTGGGCACACCATTATGAATGAAATTTAAAGGTCCCCATCGATCCCACTTCTGCAAAAAAAATGTATTCAAGGTCGACGGTCACATATATTGATTTTTTTGCATCTTTCAGCAAAACGGTAAGGTTTATTATAAAAATAGGGGGAACGAATGTGTAGATCATACAATTATCTATAAAAACTGTTATGACAACTTTGTCCCTAAGAATTGCCATTTCTGAGATATAGCGACAAAGCGCATTTTTTGGCAAGCCTCCTCATTTCCCGTGGTAACGGAGTGACCCGGACGACATAGAGACGGCGAAATAACGGGTGATTTTTTAAGAGCTTGATAACTTTTTTTTTAAAAAAAACGCATAAAATTTGCAAAATCTCATCGGTTCTTTATTTGAAACGTTAGATTGGTCCATGACATTTACTTTTTGAAGATAATTTCATTTAAATGTTGACCGCGGCTGCGTCTTAGGTGGTCCATTCGGAAAGTCCAATTTTGGGCAACTTTTTCGAGCATTTCGGCCGGAATAGCCCGAATTTCTTCGGAAATGTTGTCTTCCAAAGCTGGAATAGTTGCTGGCTTATTTCTGTAGACTTTAGACTTGACGTAGCCCCACAAAAAAATAGTCTAAAGGCGTCAAATCGCATGATCTTGGTGGCCAACTTACCGGTCCATTTCTTGAGATGAATTGTTCTCCGAAGTTTTCCCTCAAAATGGCCATAGAATCGCGAGCTGTGTGGCATGTAGCGCCATCTTGTTGAAACCACATGTCAACCAAGTTCAGTTCTTCCATTTTTGGCAACAAAAAGTTTGTTAGCATCGAACGATAGCGATCGCCATTCACCGTAACGTTGCGTCCAACAGCATCTTTGAAAAAATACGGTCCAATGATTCCACCAGCGTACAAACCACACCAAACAGTGCATTTTTCGGGATGCATGGGCAGTTCTTGAACGGCTTCTGGTTGCTCTTCACTCCAAATGCGGCAATTTTGCTTATTTACGAAGCCATTCAACCAGAAATGAGCCTCATCGCTGAACAAAATTTCACATTTCACACATTTCGAACCGAACACTGATTTTGGTAATAAAATTCAATGATTTGCAAGCGTTGCTCGTTAGTAAGTCTATTCATGATGAAATTTCAAAGCATACTGAGCATCTTTCTCTTTGACACCATGTCTGAAATCCCACGTGATCTGTCAAATACTAATGCATGAAAATCCTAACCTCAAAAAAATCACCCGTTAGTCAATGGGTGGATATACATATGTATGTATGCAGTAGAAACGAGGAGACATGTGTGTGTTTGTGAGCACTTGTGGCTATGCTGTATCGCGACAGAGGCCATTGTTTAGACTTGGTGAAAGTTTTCGGCGGTACAATGTTGCTGAATGACCAGCATCCAACAGGCGCTGCTGCAGTGCTTTCAATAGCGAGGTGGCATCTCACGTGGGGACTGCGAAGTAGTTAGTGCGTTGCTGTGCCCAATCAAGATACCGCTTTGGGAAGGAGGCCTCACAATTTCGAAATGACATTAGTGCGCCTGCTGGAAGTTAACGGGTGGTATGGAATGCCAAGTTCCACCACGCATCGCGTGGACATCAGCTTCATTGTGTGGTCGGTGTATAGGTGCATTAATAGCTTTAAGGGCGCAATGGAAGGGTGCAGGCAGTTGCGTATGACCACTGCGTTAGAAAATCATATTGCTCGCATTCATACATACTTGTGCCTGTGTATGTTAATATACATATAAGTACTCACATGCGATGTGTGAGGTGGTGTGACTGCGTTTTTCTGAATGTTTCAGTTACATAGCAAAGTGCAGCGCGCCGTTGCCTAGGCAAACATATTGAGCGAACGGCAATGTGCATTGCAGCATTTTAAGCTGCATAGGCGTAGGCAGATCGATCAGCGAGTTTTTTGTCCGCAGCTCGTTTGACGTAGCACTAGAACTGGAATGTGTACATACTCATGGAATGCAACTGAATTTGCAGGGGCTGATGAGAGAGGTGGAGCCGCGCGAGTGCAGCAGATGCATTTCGCGTTCGTTTGTTTATTTGAGTACACGAATCCCACCAGCACCTTACTATATTTGCGGGCCTGTATACAGGAATAAATATATGTATATATGGCTTCTGGATAGGCAAGTGTAGTCACATACATATGTAGATGTAAGTGCATGTGTATAACTGCATGTGGCCATGGATGCGCGCTTGCCGCGATTTTGCTGCCGGCTCATTTTTCAGCGCTCGTATTTGAACCGCGGTAGTTAGACCATTAATTATAGCGGTTGTCGGCCTTCTTCTCCTTGCTATTGTGTTAAACGGCGATACAATCAGCAACGGTATAAAGAATTACAACGGCGACTTCGTCAACGCCAACTGAATCATAATTATCGAAACCACCACATTGCTGGCACAATCGCGAAAGGCATAAACACTGGTATGTCCTTATACCCAGTCCTAGCCACGTAGTAGTCAGCCCTTTCACAATATCAGCCACTGATTTGGCCCTTTCGCTGTAGTGGTCGCGACCGCCGCCTGACGGAGCTGAAGTTAGCTTTGCTACTATTTTTGTTATCGTTGCTGCTGTCATTCATTGCCTTTTTATTGTCCGTTGTCGTTGTCGACGTCGTAAACGTTTTAAATGCTGTTGCAACAGAAAACTGCTAAACGCGAAACAGGCGTGGCGTTTTTCCAGCGAACGGCTGTGGCAGTCTTCTAAAAAATTCTTTTCTAATTAAAAATTCAAAAGTTCATCTTTTCTTAACAAAAAATCGAGCCAAACATCCAACATCAATAGAAATTTTATTTAGTTTAGAAGGCCTAAAACAACTGCAATAAAAACAGCAGAAGCAACTGTCCACTTAGGAGTTCATCAAAGAAGCTGTAAAAACAACTTTTTACTGCAACCAAAACACGATCCATAAAGTGCAGTACGCATGAAAAAACTGTGAGATTTTAAAAACAGATCAAAATGTAGAAGCTAAGAAGCAGCAATGTCAAGAATACGAACAAAAAGAGGCATATACAATAAAGAAAAAACTAGAAAAAGATTGTGAGAATAAAAGAAAGAGGTACAGAATGTGTAAAGAATATACGTAAAGAGTGGAAAGTGATTAATTAGGGAGAGCCATATACATATCTATGTTTGCATGCAAACATACACATGTATATATGTATATACATACATACATATTCATATATATTTTTGCAAGACACAAGTGGGAAAATAGGCACCATGTCTCTTTGAACAGCGGCGCATGTTCAAATTACAAGTTTTTTTTTCGGAAAGATGCAGTGAACAGTGAAACCTCTTGGAAGAAAATAAAGGCAAATACAATTCCAAACAAACATTCGCTATTAAAGATTTGTTTCGTGTGTGCGTTAATCAAAAGACATCAACAATTGACTGCCCTTAAGCCTTAAAATTAGCTTGCATTATTTTCCAAAAGTGTTACATACGTATACATATTAAATCGGGAAGTGATAATTGGTTGAACAACACTCGCTTTATCGTCACTTCCACTCTTCGTTTCACTTATTTCCAAGGACGGCCAGCAGCTAAACTTTTAATTTCTTGCTGAAAATTTTTACGTCTTGAAAATGTGCTCCCAAAGATTTGATTCGTTAATGCCACAAAATCCAATGACAATAGCGAACAGCAGCGGCTTAGCATCCATGTTTCAATTATTTCACTTCACTTTGACCACGCCTTCCTGAATGCCAGAGCACCGAAAGGCAAACATGTGACAGCCGTAAAGTATAAATGTAAAAATTTCAATAGTATTTTCTTTGAAATTTTTAATAACATCATGAAATAGCAACAGTTATTACAACAACTACTACTACAACAAAATTTGAGTAGCATTTCCTTTGAAATTTTTAATAACATAATGAAATAGCAACAGTTACTACAACAAGAACTACTAAGAAAAGCCAACAATCACAAAAGTACAGCAATAATTATGAAATAGGCGAGAACAACGATACAAGAAATGCAGTATAACATCTACGTAAAACTTCAGTTATAAGCCAACCACAGATTCCAATAACTAAGAAAAAGGCATCTTTGTGTTTTTACAGTTTTGAACAAAACAACAACAAACCGAACCAACAAAAAGCCACTAGCTTATCAACTACATACATAAACCGATAAATCAGCACAAGCAACCAAACAGCGGCGGCAAAGAAAATTCGAATCCGATTCAGCGAGTTCGATTTTCCTGCTACGTCACGTCACCGTAAATAGAGATCAACTTACACGTCTGAATTTTTTTTACAAAAAGTAGCGTTTACCGGCCATTTTAGATTTTTTACCGTTTTGGTTAATCGTCACATTCGTCCTTTCGTCAAAGACTTTTCGCCAATGAATATTGGACCTGTTTACTAAGCAAAATTCCATAAATTCAGACGTTAACATTTTGGCGTCGATTTTTGCAAACTACGAAATTACCTGAATCAAAAGTAATACTAAATCAACAACTAATAAATTAAAAAATAGAGCAAAATTAAACGAAGGAAAAATTTTTTACTAAAACGTAATTTTTATCGCAAAGCATAACTTAAATAAGAAACCTAGTCATAATTTTACAAACAAGTTATTGTTAAAAACAAATGGAAAAAAACCAAAACAATAGAAAGCGCTGGGGATGAAATCTTGAAACAATTACGTACTACGAAATACATTTGCATAGACTATTCCGAAAATGAAAAAGGGTATCAGCAAAATATGATGTGATATTTTTATGTATTCTCAGTCTAGGGTGAGTACTAATTGAATTTCTTTTAAATATTTTTTACTATTTAAAACGTAATTTTTATTGCAAAGCATAACTTTAACACGAAGCCTAGTCATAAATTTACGAACAATTTATTGTTGAAAACAATTTGGGAAAAAACCAAAACGATATTTAGCAAGCGCTGGGAATAAAATCTTGAAAAGTCTTGTACTGAGAAATGATCTTGAAACAACTACTAATTTAAATCAATACATTGATAATACTAATAGTTGTTCAAGCGTAAATAGTGTTGGCATTTTTGGTACAACTGTACTTTTTTGATTCAATTTCATTCAATACTTTGCTACTACACAGAGCTTTCGGGTGTAATTTTGTGATGAATACTCAAAAAATATTGGTCTGAAAACTCACAGCTGTAAATTTATGTTTTCTCTTTTTGCTTTTGCCATTTTGACCAAGTGGAGAAGGACTTGGCTTTACTTTGAATTTCCAATTGTCGTCCGCGCTTTGTTGAACTCGGCCAAAGTCGCTCAGGCGGTTACAGCGCCGAACAAGCAGAAGAAGAAAACATGTTTATTTAATTTCACTATGCCGTAAGGAACGGATTCTATACTTAATACTTCTGGTGCTATTGACTCTAATGAGTATCCTCAATAAGCTTTTCTTTTATCTAAACGGTAGTTGTAAATGGCTCTATTAGTTTTCGCACATAATATATGTACATATGTACATATGTATATATGTATGTAGATATGTTGTTAATGCTGAACACGGACGATATGGTTCAATGACTAGAGAAAATATTAACTAGACATCGAAATATGCAATTTTGTTGTCTGATTTATGTCAAAACCAATCATGTCCGATACAGAACGCAGCAACAGTCCTGTTGTCTCTGGTCCGACACGCTAGAATTTTCGGCGTTTTTGCACCTGCATTATGAGCTCAATAGCAATGAATGTAGGCACATTCTGAAAATTCAATATAATAAGTTAATATAAAGTAAGCTAATAGTAAACATATGTATATTTTTTAAATTAGCCAGTGGCGGATACACGGGCACACACACATTAAATTTTTCTTTTTACTTATAAATCAATGAAACGAAGAATTTTCAAATTTTTCGTGGTTTTTTGAAAAATTCTTCTAGAACTTCGTCAACTGAAAAATTTATAATTGTGAATATTCATAGATGGTAGACCGTTGAGCCTTTCTTCACATGTTGTATTTCTCAAGTAGGTTTTAATTCTTTTCAGGCATGAAAAGCTTCGATCAGGTGTGGCTATTGAAACGGGCAAAAGTGCCAATATACGTAAGATCTTAAAAACATTCCCAAAAGACGTTGGATTAGCTACTTGTAATGCTTCGAGAGCATTTCAAAAATGTTCGTGGGAAATTCGTTTTTTCCACGTTTTTACCTCCAAAAGAAAGTTTTGTTTCGAGCAGTCGATTACCTTTTTATAGAAAGCAAACAATTCTTCAGTTTTTTTTCGTTAAAACCATCTTTGGAAACAAAACACTCAAATAATTTAAAACTGATTTATGGTTTAGGAACCGGCTTTTCAAATGAGCAATATATGTATCAAGGAAGGGAATGTAAAAAGCAATGCGATAGTATGCCTGGGCGTCTCCGGTTTTCACATTAAAGCGATTCTTTTGGCGACTGCTGTATCGCGGTACTTTGATCTCTGTACCTTGGTTGGTGCATACTTCTTCTACGTGTTCGAAAAGCAAAGGAAAGTTTTTTTCTGCATCTTGTCGCATTTCTTCAAATTCCTTTAAAGCGTCGTCGGCTAAGCTCATTGCTTCTGCAAGGTCTTCATCAGGTACTTATAATTGCCGGCTAGCAAAGCAACAACAATTTATAAAAAAGCAAATGCATGTTGTTGTCGCTGTGCTAACAGTTTTTCAAACCCTGATAATTTCTATAGATATTCTCACGATACAAATAATTTTTACGGTGTTTTCCCCGTGACAAATAAAAAGTTTTTGACAATTGGAAGAAATACAACTTCGAAAGTCTTTTTTAAACGATTTTTCATTTTGCTACGTTAGAGCCAAGAAACTTATGGATACATATACATACACATAAAAATTGCTCGTTTAAGATAATTAGAATAAGGGGCAAAATTTCCCGCAAAACCCCCCATCAGAAAATTCTGGATCCGCCGCAGAAATTAACGTATAGTTGAACTGAAATTTCTATAGCTAAAGGTCCAAAATAATAACCAAATCTTACCATAAAATAGCTAAAAAATCACTTGCTGATAAAAACTATAATTTTCAAAGCAAATATATCTTTACTTAAATTAAAAAAAAAAAATATCTAATGGCGGAGGTTTCAATTATACTTAAAAAAAAGCTTTTTTTTAGTAATCTAAAAATATTTCGATTAGAAAGTCCTTTACCCAATTTCAGGGATTTAACGCAAAGTCCTTCTTCTGTTTCGGATTTTTATTCCTCACTCTTACTACCTTCAAAATGAATACGATGTTTTTGCGATTTAAAAATAAGATTCATACTCGGAACCTGAAAATGAAAGATTATCGTTATTTTCTTTGCAAGATGTTTTAATTCTTACTTTAATTGCGTTCCTTTTTCAAATGCCATTGAACTGAGGTTCTCTCCCAGATCTGCAAGTTATGTGTAGTTCCTATAAATATGAAAATCTGCTGACCTAACAATGTTTGCAGTTAGAAGCCAAAGGCTTAACAAAATACTATAGCAGCTTAGTATACATATTTCTCCCTAGATTTAGTGTTAATCTGTGCCATTAGGGATAAAATACCTTTAGGCATTTTCTTCGGGATTCTTCCAAATATTAGAATTTTATTTATTTTTTGTTCTAAGACAAATCAACAGGTTATAATTTCTTATACGAGTCTAATAAAGTTTTCTCTTTTTATTAATGTAGGTAGAACTTTCAAAATCTTTTAACAATTTCAGGCTATTTCCGTATAATTAAGTTAGTTGTTTATCTTTATTATTTCATTGAAAAATTTAAAAAGTTATTGCAATTAAAACAGTTGTAATTAAATTTTTAATCAAGTAACAAGTTGATTGAAAAGTTAATTGAATGGCACCCAACACTTTCAGATATCCGAGTTACTAGTATCTAGCAACTAAAATAATACCACGTTTAATAATAAAGAGAAGCAATTCAAAATTTAAGTTGTTGAGATTTCATCATACAATTAATAAGCTTGATAAAGAGAATATGTTCAGCCTAACAGATGACTAAACTTCCCAAAAATGGCGAAGATATGGGTCTTTTCATCTGCCCTTTTGTATATATTAACTGAATGAATAGATCAAACTTTGATTCCGTTTTCCCACAAAATTGAAATTTTTAAATAATTCTGTATATTCTTACATAAACGTGCGATATATTTAGGGTTTTTTAGGGAGAAATGGAATGACTTTAGGATGAAGTTATATGTACCATTCGACAACACTATATTATGGGTAAGTTATATGAACTTATCCTCCACAAGTGCATATATACCAATTCTAAAGTTACTATCATAGCTACATATGAAATAAGCATTATAACAACCCATTTACATTACACCAGTAGCACGCTAATCGAACAAACCAAATTTTAATCTAAATCTCAATTTCAATCCAGTGCACCCCTTCTAGCATAGCTGTAATCTAGAATCATTCAAAGTAAGTATTTAACATAGTTTAAAAATAAAGAAAGTCGGTAAAAAGAAAAATTGGTTTGTGTGCAAGGAATTTGGCTCTGTCAAAATAAGTAATGAAAATAGGTTTATTTAACAAAACAAGTTAACAAAATAAGTATTATATCAGATGACATATTTTTCAAATACAGCGTATTCCTTTCCCAATATACATAAATGGTGCGTCAGTATACGGCAGCAATCCATGATTGCACCAACTCATTCAAAATTCAATTTATCAAATTTGTAAAAGTTATACAAATTATTCCCATTTCAGCAGAAAGATTTTATAAGGAACTAGCTTTTACCCGCGGGTTTCACCCCATGTTTTTATACAAATATGAAAAATACTTTATGTAAAGATGATATATTTTGTTTCTGCTCTAATTTTACTATAGCCGTGATAGCAGAATATGGTAGGTTGTATAAATAGGGTGTTATGGAATGAAATGCAATAATAGTTTTTTGGCACATCAAAATGAAGGTTGAAATATCTCCAACAAATTATATACTAGAATAAATACCAATTTTAAATAAATTTTAACTATCTAATTTCATACGAATAATAAACTCCTATATTATTTCACAGCATGTCTTTAATACTCCAAAGCATCTATTAACATAAATGCATTTTCCAACGCAATTATCATACATTTTATTTTCGATAAAGTTTTGGGTTTTACTTTAAGGCATTCTTGTTTATTGTCATGGCAAAAGCTAAGCGAACTGGAAACTGAAGTTTTTTAAATTCGAAAGGCATATGAAAAGGAATTAAAGGGGTCACTCCTATATTATGTACCACGCCCCCATTTACAAACTCATGTATATAAATATACCTTACTATAAGCACCTACCATAGATATGTTTGCATACCAAATTTCAATTTTATGTGGCGTATGGTTCCGAAGTTATGCTTATTAAAAATTCCACGACTGTGAGATATGCCACGCCCCCTCCTAAAAAGTTATTTATGTATAAGCACCTAGCATAGGTATGTCTGCATTCCAAAGTTCAAGTTCATATGACTTATGGTTCCGAAGTTATAGTTGATTAAAAATGTGCAAACCTATGGGTGGTGCCGCGCCCCATTGCAAAATTGACACCATATTTGCAAATAAAACCATACCTATAACCTTCCCGACCAGAAATGCATTATTTTAACCGGAAGTTCATTCCAGAAAATTGTCCTACGAAAGCTATGTATTTTTGTCTGCAGAATCCGAGTCTGTTGTAAAAACAGACATACATATCGTCGTTTAAAGTACAAAACCGCGTATCGTCATTCTGCAAAGCCGCGTAACTGACATTGGCTGCCAAAAATTGGATTTTATCACACAAGCT